TAGATTTATTTGGTTAAGCATGGGGGGTGACAAGGTCTCTAATTCTAAAGCATTTCTCGCAGAGAAGTTGCAATTAGTTTTTTTCACTTTTTGTCACTTTTTAAAACAGTTGTATAAGCAAAATGTAAAATATTCTCAGAAGATCATAATCATAGATTAGTGTTCATGTCATTAAAGGAGACTCCAATCACCTAAAAGTGATATTTTAGTTTGGTGGAGCCCCTGGCTCCTTATATGTCTTGGATACCCCAACAGCAAGATCTCCCTGCCATGATCCCTGACTCGGTTTTGACATCCAGAATAGGGCGCCAAACTGTGAAAGAGTCCAAAATGTTTTTAATCCTTCACAATACAATCACGTTCCATCTGTGGTTAGTGGTGGCTGGGGCATATCTGCAATACCACTGGAGAGTTTCAAAAGATCGCCATTTGCAAGCAACATTTAAAATACATACCACAGGGCTGCAATCCTTTGCACGGAGTAAGGATAGCACCCCGGGAGCCGCAGAGGGGAAGGAGCAATCATGGACAGGTAAGAGCATCTGGGGGGACAGAGGGGGCAGATTGGTGGGGGTAATTACATTTTCCCAAATTCGCCTTGTGGAATTGTCCTTTAATGCAGGACCATGGAGGTAGCTCCACTGCAAGGGTATTTCTTCTTTTAACTTGAGATAGGCTTTAAATTTACACTCAAGGCTAGATAGAATCACACATGAACATTCTGTAATAAGCTGGTCACAATCCACATTCACAGCATACGCAGCATAGAGGGACTAGCTAATCTAATTTTAAAACAAAGTTCTTGGTTGCAATAGTTTTTTGATATATATGAAAGCAGAGTGGATACCCCGGCGGTGGGGGAGAAAAGGAATGGGATGCTTTTTAGCTGTGTGTGCAATCCTAGAGTTCTTCTTTATGAGCATCATATACTTCTGCTGCTTTATAGCTGCACTTACATTATGTCCAGGTCACGAAGATCCATCAGAGGTCCAAAAAATCCTTAAAAGTATTACAAATTATATTCAAGTTGGTTGCATTGCTTGCAGATATTGACAACATTGCTTAAAATTAACATGAACTATTGATCGGTCTTAGAGGTCAAACCGTCTTGCAGAATTTTTCAATCAGCTGCCACCTTTTATTCAGAAAAGACTATTTCCACTTTGCCACGAGTGATCGCCTTCGTGAACAAGTACAAAATACGACACCCAAGAAGTCCTTCCTTATTCTGGAGAAAGGAGCTCTACCAATTAATATATTAGCTCTAATAGACTGTTGCGATCAAAGGGTTTGTCCTGGGTGTATAGAGCCTCCACGGCTTATAGACAGTTTGGCTTTGATAATACATTTCGTGCCACATTGCTTTTGCTGAATGCAGCCTTTCCTCAGACGTGATAAATGAGCCAATATATTGCAAAATGCAGTACACACATCCTTCCCTCGGAACAGCTGGGACCAGGAAGATAGCGGGACCAAAGCCCAATTCTGAAGCATCTGAGTAATGGCCACATCTTTCTGGTAGCTAAAGCACCATTTTTTTTAATAATGTTGTGGAAACCATTACAAAGAACCTAGCTACTTAAAGGAAAATTTGAGCAATAACTTCCATAAATTCTCTCTTGTAATCTTCAAAATGAAAAATCTGGCTCCGGGTGGGCGGGACAAGCCCCATCATGTGTCCGTATGGTGGATCATCCAGAAGGCAGCCTTGGTAGTGTGGATGACCAGGGACCCTGGCTTAAAACCTTCATGCTCCTGCAGTAAACCTGGAAGATAGTACAACTGGTCAATGCTGTGCATTTATCTGTCACTATACAAGGGAGGATGTACTTGATCTCATGGGCGGGCTATGCCAGTACAGGCATTGCAAATGGGGAAGCAATAAGCAATCCTTATCATTGTTAGTTGAAGGAATAGGAGTGGCGGCTAAACCCACTTTCTTGCCTAGGGCCCCATTCTGCCTTTTCCATCTCTGGGGTTCAGCTATTTTGGGCCCCTCTACACTATTAACTGCCACAGCTATGTCAAAAATTACTTTGAGATGCAAAGGCAAACAAAGCCATTAACTTATTTCTTTGCTGACAAAAAGGAGCAGGAATGTTATCACATACAAAGGCAGGCTTTGATTAAAAAAAATCGAGTTTAAGGGGATTGGTGGTATATGTACCACCTCCTCATGTATTACTGGCCCCTCCCTTTAGATTGTAAGCCCTCAGGGGCGGAGCCCTCCTTACCATCTTGTCTTGAATGGTATTGTAATTGTAATGTCTTCCTTATATTGTAAAGCGCTGGGCAAAATGTTGGAGCTATATAAATCCTGCATAATAAGAAATAATAATATAGTAACTTCTACTTTGTGGTTTGATTTGAGATTAAAAAGGCTGGAAGGCTAATGAGTCACTGCTGGAAGGGAGAGCAGGGTGGGCTGAGCTGCTGAGTCACAATTGCAGAGGGACCTGGGCTGCTGAGTCACTGCTTTGGAGGAGGGAGCAGAGGGAGCTGGACTGTTGCTAGAATTATTTATATGACAATACACTTCTCCAGAGTGCCTACAGCTACAGAGGTCAGTGAGGGTTTGTTTTAATGCTCATGTGACAAATAAGTATATACTTGACAGTCCCTAGCAGGAGCATGCTGCCTCAGGTGGAGGTTTTGGCCACCCCTGCCTCCCCAGTGTGGCAAAAATAGATGCCTTCGGTGGTAATCTCACTGATGCTGAACCTGATAAAAATGCTAACTTAGCGTCAATGAGCAGGGCTCCCAACCTCTCCACCTGTCATATAGGCAGGCGCAGCAGACGGGAGCTCTGCACAGCATCACTAAGTAGTTTCGGCCACTGCGCCTGCCTGTGTGACACTTCGGTCTCAATGCCACCCCCCACAGTGCCGCCTGAGGTAGCTGCCTCAATTGGACTCATGGGAGTAATGCCGCTGGTCCCTAGCTTGATCAAAGGTTCATACTAGGGTGATGTAATTACAGCCTAGAAATTTAACGGGCTTAGGATTGCTGCCTTCCGGCTATATAGGTGACATGTACACTTTAACATTGCTGAAAACTGGTTTGCTTGTTCTTCCTTGCAAGAAATCAGTTCAGTAACTGCCTGGGAATGATAGACTTGCCAGCTAAGGTCACATTTAACGAGGTGCATATTAAAGTTAATTGGAAAATTAGCAATCCAACTCGCTGAAGATCCAGGCTTACTTGGGAATTAGCTTAATCACCTCTTAGGCTTGTATATTGTGTTTATTCTCTCAAGTTGAGTGTGATAGGCCAACCCCTGCAATTAAACTTCATAAACCAAGTAAATATTGCTTTGCAGTAAGTATACGTAATCAATTAGCCACTGTGCTCTGTTTCCTCGGGCCATGTGGAAGTCAGGTCTCTCAGAATTTGTCTATTAGCTGGTTGGATTTGACTCGAGGGGCAGTCAGAGGTGAGCCGCCCATGGCCCTGCTTGAGGGGATGATAGCATAGATTGCAATTGTAGCAGTCATGATGGCTCAGCAGCAGTAAACGTGGCTGATATGTGTAGGTCTGCAATGTTACAAACATGCGTTTTTTTTTAAAGCGAAATATGTAACTGTGATCAATCATATTGATGTCTATGGAGTGATTGTATGTTGACAAATGACTTTGATACAACTGCACTAAATAGGTGCAGGATAAGCTAAGGTTGACCTGAGGCAGGGGTAGGCAACCTTGGAACTCCGCAGGGGTTGAAACTGCAAATCCCATCTTGCCTCTGGGAGTCATGCCTGTGACTGTCAGATTCTTGCAGTGCCTCATGGGATTTGTAGTTCCACAACAGCCCTGGTGATGAGGTTGCCTATGCCTGCTCTACAAAGTGTATATGCGTATGTGCTTGGCCACTAGTTGAGTGGGTGGGCCAAAAATTGGTTTTCCACAAGGGCCCTTCGGTGATTTTACCACTGAAATTCTCCATATCTCCCATGATACGGCTTACTTTAAACCCTTCCCTCAAGTGACACATAGCCTTTGCGATGACCTTGGGGTTGCTCCTTACCTTTGCAAATCTTGTTCGCATAACTGTCCACTGTGCGCATGCTTTATAACTCACAAAAACAAAAATTTCCCAGCACCACCCAGCCTGCAAAAAAACCCACTGTTTAAATACGAGGGTTAAAATTAATAGGGATTAGTTGCAGAACGTTTCCAAAAGATGTGTAAGCCACACTGCCTTGTCAAGGCCCCTCTGTGTAGTGTGGTCCTTCTCTATGAGAGCCTCCATCTTGGAGCATATATAGCAAAGAATGAAGTGGTTGCAGGTTTGCCAGGAGGTAGCTCCACCTCCAGAAGCCACCACACACCACAATGGCAGCTGAAGCCCCCAGTGCTTTATAAATCAACCCCATACAGTAGATGTAAACCCAACAACAGCTATGCAAATGAGATGCGCAGCACATTACGGCCACCAGATGGAGCTGAGGAACATAGGAAATTTCCAGGCTCCTTGGCTCCATCTAGTGGCCATAATCAGATGTGAATCTTGTTTGCATAGCTGTTCACTGTGCGAATGCTTTATAAATCTACCCCATAAAGTAGATGTAAACCCAACAACAGCTATGCAAACGTGATGTGGCACATTATGGCCACTAGAGTAAATTCCTACGTTCCTCGGCTCCATATAGTGGCCATAATGAGCTGTGAATCTTATTTGCATAGCTGTTCCCTGTAGGCGCCCTTTACAAATCAGATCCTAAGTGATTGCTTTCAATGTAATGCAGTAGTTTACCTTCATTTTATCTACTGCATATGAATAAATAAATATCAGTAATTTTCTGTTTTCCAACACCTATGCATCACGGCCTTAAGTGCAATATAAATAAACCGCTGAACGCTACGTAAACGAGAAGATAATAAAACATAATATCAGTGGCGAGTATAATTTTCCTGCGGTAATTGAAATGCGTGTAGATGTTGCTCCGGCACAGAGCGTTCCGACGAGCTCACGGCTATTATGTTTTTGTCTTGTGTTTCAGAACAAAGTACTGAACGTGGATGGCGTAAAAGTCAAGCTGCAGGTAAACACATTATATCTTTCACGGGGTTATTTGCGCTCGTGTCTGTGTTCGCGCAGAACATTTTGGCGTAGCACGAGAAGGGGTGGATAACAATAACAGTAGATTAAAATTATTATGAAGTCTGTATATAATGTGTACAGGAGAGGAACCATGGCTGAAAATGAATCTCCTTTATAAGATAATGATGTTGCACACCAAACTGAATATAAACGTATTCCTCCCCAGGGCCAAAGTCTTGTTCTACCCGCCTATTACCGCAATTAACTGGCTAGCATTAGCAGGATGAGATGTCATACACACACATGTCCTGCCAAACTGGGCAGGGATTGGGCCGTCAGGGATGTGGTACATCTACTTGAGGTGTAGATGGCTGTGTGCTGCCCCTAAGGGCTTGTTCACACCAATTGTGTTGTGTTCCAGAGGGGGAGCTGCTGGAACGCACTGCAATACCTTACAAAACTCCCCTCTTTGTTCTGGGACAGGAGGGGGTGTGGCGGTGCATTGAAGTCAATGACACCGCAGCCCTCCTCCCCGCCCGCAGTGCAATAGGACACGTGGCAAAGCATTGCCTGCGTTCCGCTCCACTGCAAACGCAAAAAATAGAGCATGCAGAATTTTTTTGCGTTTGCAGTGGAACGGAACACAGGCAATGTCTTGCCACGCGTCTGATCACACTGCGGGCGGGGGGGCATGGCTGCAGTGCCATTGACTTCAATGCACTGCCACGCTCCCTCCCACCCCAGAACGAAGGGGGAAGTTTTGTAAGAGATTGCGGTGCATTCCAGCAGCTCCTGCTCTGGAAAACAACGCAATTGGTGTGAACAAGCCCTAAAGCTCACCATACTTAGGGTGCCCATACACTTTACAACCCTCGCAAGACTTTTGTCTTGCGAGGGTTGTAAAGTAATTTAAAAAACGTACGATCTGCCTATCTTGGACAGGCAGATCGTACCTGCGATCATCGCAAGCCGCACCCCCCTGAGGGGCGGGCTTCCGATGACTGCAATGCTGAACGGCCAGTGTGCGCGTGCGCACACCGGCCCGTTCGGCAGTGATCTCTCGATCATGTTAAAAACCAGCCGAAAATCGTACGATTCTCGACTGGTTTTCCAACATGCTCGATATACAAAAGTCGTGCGACCATACATTAGAGACGGTCGCACGCCTTCCATACACTGCACGATTCTCGTACGATCGCAGGATTTCCCGCGATTCTTGTATGAGAATCGTGCAGTGTATGGGCACCTTAAAGAATCTGATTGCACAATCTCCTTTAGATCTACCAACAACTATGTCGTACAAGTTCCTACTTATTGAATACAGATTGGTTGGATAGTGCCAAGACCCACCTGAGAGTGACCCAGCAGAGCCCACCATAGATGCTGCACAGCCCATCTGAGACTGTCTATGGTGGGCTCTGAAGGGGTCTCAGGTGGGCTGGTAAGGGCTGCATCCCTCCCCTCCCTCCTTTCCTTCCTACCTTCCTTACCAACGTGACGTAACTTCCGGCCAGTCCGACATCAGACGAGCAACATCGCTGATGGGGCCCCAGCTTGTCTCGAAGCCGCTGGAGCGGCAATGATGGGGCCCTGCGCTGCTAGGGCCAGGCCTCCGCCTACTCCTCGCCCTTCACCGTCGGCCGATAGTCATGTAAGGGACCCGGACGGGCCCCCAGGCTGCCTGGGCCCCTTACATGAGTATCGGCCGTACCCCCCTGATGGCTGCCCTGTTCTTAGTACCGGTGCCAGTCAGAGATACACAAGGGGCAACAGCTGAAAGAAATCAGTAGAAGCTGAGGTTAAAAAAGTGACCGCACACAGTTCCCTAAAAAGTAGTATATCTATGATGTCTCTAGCAACCAATCAAATTTCAGCTGTCATTTTTCATATCATAATTTGTACTGTAGGGCTGCAAAGACAGTTTTTATTTCAGAAACTTTTACAAATGAACCCCAAATCATTGATCTTCTGATCTTCGTTTTCCCAATAGATCTGGGACACGGCAGGGCAGGAGAGATTTCGCAGCGTTACTCATGCGTACTACAGAGATGCGCACGGTAAGTGCTTCAAGCTGAATAGACCAGTGTGAGTAGAATCGGGGCTGATTTCTCCATAATTGCACTGGTGACCCCATTTTCAGCCGATAGCAAAAACGTGTCCATAATGGTATTTCAAAGGATTTCTTTCTCAAACTTAAGCTGGCCATACACTGTTAGATAGGGCTCCCCTATCTACGCTAAACCGCTTGGATGAAGGAATCTGTTGTGGTTGATTGGCCGCAGTCACTTTTCCGCCATGAGTATTGCACTTGTCTCCTTTGATCGAAGGATGTCAGGTGGGAGCTGCCAACAGAGCCATCCATAGAGTGAGCTCGCTCAATGTATGGCCAGTAAAGACATGCTAAATTCGAACTTCAATTTGTTATCTTTAGGTATGCTGTGTGAATGGGAACACATAACATACATTCACAGGGGGGTTTCTCAAATTTGGCTGCAAAAGTGGAAACACCCTTTAAGCCACAAAATAATGGAAATATAGAAAGGCTGCATGAAAAAAAAAGGCTTGTATTACTCATCTGGCCATGGCACGGCTCTCCATTATGAGATACAACTGCCTGAAGAATCTTCTGCATTCAATGCTTCTGGGTGTGCCGGACGCTTGGTTCTACTCTAAGCTCTGTGGTTCCTCCTTTGAGCTCTGTGGTTCCTCCTCTGAGCTCTGTGGTGCCTCCTCTGAGCTCTGTGGTGCCTCCTCTGAGCTCTGTGGTGCCTCCTCTGAGCTCTGTGGTTCCTTCTCTGAACTCTGTGGTTTCTCCTCTGAACTCTGTGGTTTCTCCTCTGTGGTTCCTTCTCTGAGCTCTGCGTTTCCTCCTCTGACCTGTTGTTTCTCCTCTGAAATCTGTGGATCTTCCTCTGATCTCTGTGGTTCCTCCTCTGAGCTCTGTTGTTCCTTCCTCCGGTCCCTATGTCACTATTGTATCCTGTATACATGTAGGGGTTGGCAGGAGGAACCACCGAGCTCAGAAGCAAACCAGACATCCCACACTGCTGGAAATGTCTGGTGCAGCTAAACTGAATACAGCGCAGAGTGGGGGAAATAAAAACAAGTAAACGCTTTCTTCATGCAACTTTTTCATTTCTGCTAAATGGTGACAGGGCCTCTTTGCAGAAGAGGAAACAATATTTAATTTGGAAAAGGAGGTGGGGGTGGGGGGTTTCAGATGAACTCAGATTAGTAAATCAGACCCACCACTTGTATGAAATTGAATCTCTGTGTTTTTGTCTCTCCAGCTTTGCTGCTTCTGTACGATGTTACCAACAAGACCTCTTTCGACAACATCCAGGTGAGATGGTCTGTACAGGGCCGCGGCAGCACCGGAAACCATTTATCTATCTGAGCATTTATTTGATGTGAATGGGATCAGATTATAACAGACACAAAGTAATGCAGCTCTGTAATCATTAATGTATCATTACATGGATTTTTTAAAATGCAAGCAGTGTAAGTACCTGAATCTGCACAGATCAGCCTCATGCAGTCCCTGTACAGCAGAGCTGAGTGGGAGAGGAAAAAGGAGCACAATGAATCTATCAGTTCTTAGGCTGACAAGACACACGCTGATAAGAGGAGAGTGCAGAGTGACAGAGAAATGAGTCCATTCACAGGGAGCTGACAAGTATAGCAATTTCCTATACTAGATCATATCTAAACACAAAAACAATAATGTAATATTGCCCGTCCTTAGATGTGGTGGCTGCATTTGGTGTTTTTTTTTTCCTGGCATACACATAGGGGCTCACTTCTAAAAGTTCTGCTTGCATGGCACTAGCACCCCTAGATGGGGTGGCGAGTATAGCAATTTCCTATACTAAACACTACAACAAAAATGTAATATATTGCAACTTGCCCGTCCTTGGCTGTGGTGGCCGCATTTGTTTTTTTTCTGGCTAGAGCTAAAGCTGGCCATACACATAGGGGATAATTTTTTACATTTCTGCATGCAGTGCACCCATAGATGGCGCTGACGAGTATAGGAATTTCTTATACTAAATCATATCTAAACAGACAAAAAAAATGTAATATATTGCAACTTGCTAGTCCTTAGATATGATGGCTGCATTAGTATTGTATCTGGCTAAAGCTGGCCATACACATAGGGGATAGTGTATAAAATTACCCCTTGCACAGCACTAGTACCCCTAGATGGTGCTAACAAGTATAGGAACTTCCTATACTAAGAGGGTTATTCACAAAAGAACCGACGGATCCAGCAATAGCTTCAGCTGATCCTTCAGCTCTCTTTGGCAGCGGGAGCCCTTCGGTTCAGTCAAACGGAAGGGCTGCTATACAAGCTATTCACTATAGCCCATACAACGGCCGTGCCGAAGGCATATGCTTCGGATTGACTGAGCCAAAGTGACAGCCGAAGCGGGGCAAACGGCCTGCCGAAGGTCGGCCGTTCGCCCCGCAGATGACAGCTGGGTAGAGTCAGCCGTGATCTCACGGCTCGCTTCGCCTAGTTGTAATGACAGAGCAGCGTCCCCAAATGACCTGGGGACGCTGATCTGTCAATAAACAATAAGAACTGGGCGAGCCGACCGTGACGTCATGGCCAGCTCCGCCTAGTTGTCATTCATTGGCCAGGACCAGCTAGAACAGCGTTTTTCAACCACTGTGCCGTGAGATATTTTCTGGTGTGCCGTCAATAAATCGTTAATTTCTTTGATCGATCAAAATTATTTTGATCGATCAAAGTTACTCACCTCTCCGCCGGCTTCCGGGTCTTCCGTCGGAGATCCGGTAGATTCCTATTCAAGAGAATTACTTTATATATAGTCAATATAGGCACAGAGGTAAATTTTTTTAACATTTTCTAATGGTGGTGTGCCTCGTGATTTTTTTCATGAAAAAAGTGTGCCTTTGCACAAAAAAGGTTGAAAAACACTGTGCTAGAAGACTCTAGCAGGTGCAGGTGGAACAGTTGGGTGGAGCTAGCTGCCACTGCTAGCTCTTCCCAATTGTTTTTTTTCTTTTTAAAAATATCTTAATTTTTTTAATTTCACTATTTATTTACATTTTTTTTTTTTATTAATCTTTTTTCCCTACTATTTTCACTATTTTGAGGTACCGAGCAGAATAGCCTCTTAACGGGATTCGGCTATTCACTCATTGTCGTTCGGCCCCTATGAGAATGGGGGCGAACGGCAGCAAATGATCCAGATGTTGGGTCGGCTGAGTCTAAGTCCTTCTGCACAGAGCATGTTCGGCTGACCGAAGGCAGCCATACAGAGCCGATGTATGGCTGATTTCAGCCGTTGTATGGTTGATTTCAGCCGATGTACGGCTGAAATCAACCGTACAAGCCAGAAGTGAATAGCCGTACGTTGTTCGGCTCACTTCGGCTCGGTTATTCCTTCGGCAGCTTAGTGAATAACCCTGTAAATCATTTATTAACACAAAAAAACACCCCTGTAATATATTGTCTTTTTTTTTTCTGGCTAAAGCCATATGCATAGTGCAATCGTATTTACGATTGCTGCGGGACTCATTTAAAAAGAAAAATTTAAAAAAAACTGAGTTGTCCTTTAATCCCCAAACCACCCGGAACATGAATTGTATCACCTGTGAGCCATTATCGTGTTATAATGCTCTGCTCGTGGTTTATGAAATGTTTCTTATACAGCCATAGAATCGCATGATGCCGTTAGGAGACGCTTTATATTTTGGTGATTACAGTAGCATTATGGATGCCAGAAAATAAATGTAATGTGATGTTAATGGCAGGGCATAAATTGAAGGGTAATTATTCTTTACAAGGATTGATTGTACTTCTTTACTTGTGCCTCCTCGCCCTGCTTAGCACGTCTCCAATTCATTTTAATCTCTAATGAAAGGTTACATTGTTTTCTTCTTAAAGGATCAGAAACCTAAAATGTCATTTGCCTTTTTTGTAAATGGGCTATTAATAATACCGTATACGAATTTGTATGCATTCACTATACATAGGACAGCGTGGAATATTTAATTGCTCAAGATGGACAAAATGTTTGTTTAAAGCTCAACTCTGGGCACAGAAACTTTCATTGAAATATACGAACCACAAAGGATACAAATCCACGTTGTGTGCACTAAGGCTCCATTCACACCAGGGCGGTTCGATTGGCGGATTTGTCCACGCTGAACCGCCGACATGAACGACCCCATACCTTCCTTTGGGGACTGTTCATGTGTTCGCGCGGCTCCACGCGATCCGAACCGCCTGCCGCCCGAAATGCTGCCTGAGCCTTTCTTTTCCATACAGATTTGAATGAAACACGTTTTTGGCCGTTTTTAATTGCATTTCAGCGTTGGTGTGAATGAAGCCTAAAAGCCTTTGCAAACCTGGTTATTACTTAAAATATGTAAATGTAGCAGTGACATCATCACTGTGCTGTACATGCCCAAGTGGCCCCACCCACTACAGGAGGGGGCAGAGACAAGACCACTCACCCTACACAAGGAGAGAGCAGCAGGGAGCTGTCATTATTACAGGAAACTACAGGGGGCGGAGACATGATGACCAGTCACCTTACACAAGGAGAGAGAGCAGCAGTGACCAGTCTTTATTACAGGAGGGGGCGGAGACAAGACCAGTCACTCTGCACAAAGAGGGAGAGTAGCAGTGACCGGCCTTTATTACAGCAGGGGCCGGAGACAAGACCTGTCACCCTGCACAAGGAGAGAGCAGCAACTGGCCTTTATTTCACACTGGATTACTGCAGAGATCTGTGTGCATCATCTACCCTGGGGGTACCCAAACTCCGGCCCTCCAGCTGTGGTGAAACTACAAATCCCATCATGTATCTGCTTCTGGAAGTCATGCCAGTGGCTGTCAGTCTTGGAACGCCTGATTTATAGTTTCACTACATCTGGAGGGCCGTTGTTTGCCTACCCCGGTCTACCTTTAGTTATACTTTAAAATACTATGCTGTATTAAAAGTGTGACTGTCACAGGACTTTCAGAGGAGCATCTGCAGAGTCTTAGTTCCTAGCTCTGGAGTTCAGCTCCGCTCTAGCAGCTCAGTTCCAGCTTCGGAGCTTGCCTAACAATTGAGGAGCTGTGTGCCAGAGTTTAGCTAAAAATTGATGAGCTGTGCGCCGGAGCCAAAGCCTTGCCAACCCTTTTCTGCAAAGCACAATATTTACGGTTTGCATTCTCTTTTTTCTTTTTCATTTAGCGTTAGTTGTCAGTCCCAGACAAGGTATACAACAACAGTCTACGTTTCCCATCTGAGTATAAAGTCTTCCATAATAGATCATTATACATCTGGGACACATTCAAATATTAATACACCAATTCCTTCTAGTTTACCCAAGCAGTCTGCTGTGGAACAGACTGTGTGCATCATGCATCTGTTGGAGGCATCGCGGCACCTTTTTAGCGCTCACCAGGAACTGGGACGACTGCCATGTACACAAATGAAGTGTGCAACATGCCTTCTACAGCGGCCGGATATTAAATGGTATTTTAGAGTAATCGCTCGTCGCTCGCTGGCGTTTTCTATTTGGGTCTAGAAAACATTGGGTTTTTTTTTGCAATGTTTATGGGAACTGCGAATTGTTATGCTCTTTCCATTACTAGTGGGAAAGAAATGAAGTTATTTATTCCTCATAATAGGATAACTAGTACAGACAAGTCGATTATTTTATTATGCTGCCGTGGCCAACATTGCACCCGGAAGCACACATGCAGCCAAAGAAATGGAGCCATGGATCCCATTTGCATGCAGCTGTTGCTCAATTGCTACCTCTCTTCAGTGCAAGATATGAAAACTATGGGGGTTATTCATGAAGGACCCGAAGGATCCAGCCATAGCTTCGGCTGATCCTTCGGCTCCCTGTGGCCGCCGAAACCCTTCGGGTCAGCCGAACCGAAGGGCTGCTGTACGGGCTATAGTGAATAGCCCGTACAGCTGCCGAGCGGCTCAGCCGCGCCAAAGGAATAGGCTTTGGCTTGACTGACCCGAAGTGACAGCTGAGGCGAGGCTGTAAGCTACACGAATGACAGCTGGGCGGAGCCAGCCGTGATCTCTCAGCTGGCTCCGCCCAGTTGTAATGACGGATCAGCGTCCCCAAATGACCGGGAGACGCTGAGCTGTCATTTAACAATAGCAACTGGGCGGTGCCGGCTGTGATGTCACGGCCGGCTCCACCCAACGTGACGGCCAATAGGAAACAGTTGGGTGAGGCTAGCTGTCACTGCTAGCTCCACCCAATTGTTTTTTTTTCTCTTTTTAAATATGTTTATTTATGTTTTAATTTATTTCACTATTTATTAACATTTGAAAAAAAAACATTTACCTT